AAAGAGTTTGGCACATTCAAAGAACTAAAAAGAGGCCGTGGTGTCGAGGGCCTGCGGAGAGGGTTTGGGGGGTTCAGCGGCCAAGGACGAAGCGGGAACCATCAGCAGGGCTCACCTCCTGCGGGCCTAATAAGTTCCATAAGGAGGTGGGATTCCACGTTAGGAGCAATAAGAAGCCGTAGAAAAGCGTGTAAGCCAGGAGAGTTATAAGATGACAGCTTGAAAGGAAGGGTTAATTACGCCTCCCTAAAAGGAAATCTCAGTCCAGTTGGGGAGTTGAGATGCTCACCATCCACCTCTCACAAAGAGAGCTCTATGGAGACCAACACAGTTAAATTTGAGTGGCGTATTGGGTGTGCACATGGCCCCAGGCACTGAGATGAACTGAGAAGCAGCCGTTAGAAAGCTTCTGGTCCACTAGAGAATACAGGGCATGTGTTCTGTTAATTACTGTGATGTGACAAGTTCCAGAACATGGAAGCAATAGAGTAATTCCCAGAATTGGACAATTGACCATGGAATCTGGCTCAGACAAGCAATGCCTAGGGTATTTGAATGGCAGTGAGTGCCCCTCGTGGATGGGAGGGTGTGCATTGATGATGGGGCTGGCGAGCAGCTTACTTTGTCTCCTGTAGCAATGTTTGGGTGGTGCACACTCTTACAGAAAGTTTTCAAGGAAAGTTTTCAAAAAGAGCCAGTATCAGCTGAAGCAGGTGGGCTTCGTGGCTGAATCTGAAGGCTCGTAAAAGAGGCCATCTTGTTTTCTTCTACAGAGGATTACATGCAGATGTTTTTTTCTCTCTTTGGCCAAAAAAGAAGATGCTCTGGCTGTCTGTGACCTACTTCTGAGCTGTGCTTCCCTGGCCTGCAGAGAGAGCACGGTCTATGGCAAGTTGGCTTCAAATCGTCTCTGCATCCTGACGCATCTACGGAGGGCATCTTCTCTTCCCTCCAGGTTCTGCGTTTCCCAAGGAGAGAATTTAATCTCAAAATGGGTCAGACCCATGATTTCCCCAACCCCAGAAGGCGTGGCCCCTGCGTTAGCATACTTAAGCTGTTCCCCATAGCTTAGTGTCGTCCCTGGAATAACTCTGTCCTCCGACATACAGGCACAGTGTTTAATGCCAGTCTGACGGCACCTTCGAGGCCATCCTTTCTTTGAAAAACCAAGTAGTTTTGGGTTAGAGAAAAGATCCATCCATCTGCTAGGCTCCAAGCACTTCTAATGTATGCACATGATTTAACACAAAGTGCAGAATCTGTACAAGGGAAGCAAGATGCACCCAGAGCTCCCAGCCAGAGCTGAGAAAGTACAGACAGCAAAGACTTACCAGCTCATCCTGTCGGTTCGCCAGGGCCTGCGGTGAGTCCCTGCAGGACATTTTTTTGCTGACTATCTATTTAACTTAGGCCTCCAAACACATCATGGATCACTATGCTGACAGAGCCAATACTGTATTATATTAGATACTGCTCCTGACAAGGTATTTTACTCTTGACATATTATAATTAGAGATTTGCAAGTGGTGAATTCTCCATGTATCTCCAATAGCAACTTAACTTCTATTTTTAAGACCTCTGCAGTCTGTTTAAAAGTCTCCCACCAGCTTTGGGATCTGATGGGAGAAAGAATGTGGGTCCCCGAGCTTGTTCCCCAAGCTCTATTGATAGAGAGAAGAGCTGTTTAAGGAACCACTTCTTAATCCTCAGCTGCTTTCTCTGGAGTGCTAACTGTGTCTCCAGATTTCATTAATACCCTCAGGAAGATAAGACATTGGTTAGTGATGACTTGTCTTTCTTAACCACTGACATGCTGGCTCAGATTTGGAAGCCAATTTCGTAGCTAAAGCGTGAGGAAAACTCGATACATTCCTTTTGTTGTTGTTGTTAACTAATCATTATTTTTATTAATTATTATTATTACCAGTACTACTACTACTACAGTGATCCAGGTTTGTGATTTAAAAAGTCCCACATTAGAAAAGGCCATACAATGAAAACTAAAATTTGCTAATGCCCACAACTCCAGTTCTTAGTCACCCTGCTAGAAACAACAGTTACCAACTCTTTATATGTCCCCCCAGAAGAATTTTAGGCAAATGCAAGCATATGCCCGTGTCTTAGTCCGTTCGGCCTGCTGTAACAAAAATATTATCGACTGGGTGGCTTACAAACAACAAACATTTATGTCTCACAGTTTGGGGGCTGGGAAGGCCAAGATCTTGGCACCAGCAGACTCAGTTTCTGGTGAGGACCCACTTCATGGTTCATCTCTTTTACTGTGTCCTCGCGTGCAGGTGGAGGGGTGAGGGAGCTCTCTGAGGCCTCTTTTATAAGGGGCCCCCACTCATGACCTCATCACCTCCCAAAGGCCCCACCTCCTAAAGCCATCATCTTGCAGGCTAGGATTTCAGCACATGCATTTTGGGGGCATACGAGCATCCAGTCTATTGCAACCTGCTCGTCTATCTCTAGCCCTATCTGTTCTCTATCTCTCTCTGTCTCTAAATCAATCTTCTAGCTTCTCACTAGTTCCATTCTCAAAACAACAGAATTGACATCTACTAAGCTCCCCTTTTGGCACCCTTTACATCTGGGCAATCATTTTATAGCTCACTTTGGGATCCAACTCATTCTTTTTCATGTTTGCCTTGGATTTCAGGTTGTTCCCAGGGTTTATCTTATAGCCTTGCTATTCCCAATCAGGCTGT